TCTAGGTGGAACGAGCTCAACAGCAAACATGTAAGGTGGCTGGAAGAGCCCACGGGAAGAGATAATGGTTCATTGTGTGGCTGAATCACAAAGGGCTTCACAGAAACAAAACCTGGGGCCCAGTTCTGCTCCTTGCCTGGTCCTTTAAGATTAGATCCTGCAAATATAACCTGCTGTAAGTCTCCTCATCACGACTCTGTCTGGCTCAACAGCTGTACCTCTCCAAAGCCCACAGCATGTACAGCTCTGCTCCCCAGCAGGCCAGGCTGGGACATGGCTGGGAGAAGGGCAAAGCCTTGGGCTCTGGTCCACCTCCATGCATGCCAGATGGGCTATAACTGCAAGCCATAGCACCGTGGAAGCCCAAAGCTAGAGTATTCTGCTAACATTTGCTGAGAGGCACTCAAGCATTTGATTGGTGCTCACTGCTCTGGATTACGTGCCACCAGGATGGGAAGCACTGAGGTTCTTCCAAAAATAGGGAGGAAATGGTGAACCCCATGCCATCACACAGGATCCACGAGCAATGGTTAAGTGCTCAAGCAGAAGGGTGCAGAGCTACCTCCAACACACTGTAGTGGCTGAGACCTCTGGAGATGTCAGGATGACACCTATAGGATACCCCACAGCTCTCCAACAGCAGTGGGTGAGCAAGTGGGACACCTGCTGTAGCATCTCAGGTACTACCAGAAATAGGTCCATATATCTTCATCCACCTCATGGCCAGATTATTGGGGCAGCCAGAGCAAAATTCACTTGCACATAAGCAGGTTAGAAGCCACTGCTCAGGTGAGTCCTTGACACTGTATGCTCTGCGCTAGCATTTATCTCCGAAAGACAGGTTTACATGTAAGACTTCAGTAAATCTCCTGAGGGTTTCTATGGAGAACATAGGTTAGTCATTGCAAATGCAGCCCTACTTGCCCTTATGAAGCATCTCATGTCTGTCACAGCTCTGTGGGGAGTCATGAGGAAGAGTTTCCTGCTATTTGTAAATCACACTGAAAATACTAAATGGTAATTACACGAGCCAAAAAACAGCAGTGCCAAAGCTGTTGCTGGCAAGGAAAATAGCAATCCTCCATCAGAAGGGAGTAAATACAGTGAAACCACTGCAGGGTTCTAGCAGCAAGATGACATGATGTATGAATGATCACATACTCCCACTCTTAAAGTCAAGGCTCAACTAGATTTCTTGTTTTGCTCAGGTTTTGGGTTTTCTGAGTGAAGTTTTCTTACCTCTGAAATGTCTTCGTCACAGAGGAGCAGACCTTTCCTCCCTTACTTCTGCCTCTTTCTCTTCTGTTTTCTTTCCTCATTGTGCTGGCATTGCTGTGTGTTTGGAATCCAGCTGTAGGGAGTCAGATTTCTTCCTTACTGGGTACAGTCAGGTCCCTCCCGAGAAGTAGGTGGCACAGGGAAGGTGCCCTGTGTCACAGGGAGTGTGAATTCTGCTGGTCCCTCTGCACCTACAGGTGCCTCTGTGGGAGTGGCCCACCATGGGTGATGGTGCTTACTCATGGCTTTTGGTGGGGATGAGGAAGGAGATCATGAAGTCATTAAAGTTGGAAAATACCTATAAGATCTCTTGTCCAACCATCAACCCATCTCTACTATATCCACTGACCACATCCCTCAGTGCCACATCCACATGGTCCTTGAACATGTCCAGGGATGGTGACTCCACCATTTCCCTATCTCAGCAGCAGGAGATGGAGAGTGGACAGTAAAGATATGACCCTGTCACAACACTGGTGAGATTGTAGGGGACAAGTTCCAGAGAGCAGATCCCACAGTGCCAACATCCAGGTAAAGGGGTTTTGCTGCCCTGTGCAAAGCCATGAGCGGAGCCCAGCTGCTGTTGCAGCTACCAGCTGCCCCAGGCCAGCTGAAGCCAGTTCAGGTGCCACTACCACAAAGAAAACAGGGCCTGCTCATCAGCTTCATCTCTCTAAACTTCCTAACCAATGACTACCCATGGCTCGCAGTGATTCTGACCTTGACACAGCAAATCTCAATACTGCAGGTTGTGCTGTCCAGTAAATACAAGCTATGATAGACAAGTGCTCTTGACTAGGAGTGTGTGTGCTGATCTTTATTTCTCAAATATGTTGGCTTGTGTGGAGTTGATGGTGTTTTCTGTCTCCTTCCCATGAGAGTTCCCCAAATCCTTCTCTTTGGAAATATGTTCACCATGCTGACAGCAGTGCTGTAGGAGTTTTATCAAAGCATGGAACTTTCATGCTGAGTTTCACACTTCCAAGCATCAGGAATGCATTTGCTGTCAGCTAACATATGCCATTTCACAGCCCTATTTTACATCTTCCTTTTAATAAGATCTGATATTCAGTCACAGCCACTATTGACAACTGCTAAACTAAAGGCAGGATCCAGGCTGCTAAATCCATACCTTATGCTTTCATTGCAAGAACTCAGACACTATGCATGCAATCATAGAAGGGTACTGAAGTGTTGGCATTTCAGCTTCTTTCAGCAGGAGGGAAAGGATGGCCAAAATTCCAGTAAAAGTCTCAGCTGCAGAGATGTGCTTTCAGATGTTTGGGATTGAACAAAGACATGCTATCTATTATTTTTTTTTTTTATCCACCTCATGATATTTTAATATATTTTAATTACTTGTAACAGAAATGCAAAGACTGCTCATAGTGGAATGTGAATGGGAACATCCGTATGTATGAAAGTTCCAGGAGAAACAAGAGAATGAAGGTGAGAAGAAAGACCTTCACAGCTGCCCAGGGACATGACAGACAGCTATCACACAGGTGAATACTGAGGAAGGCACTGTTTGCTGCAGGAGCCAGAGGCTCCAAGAAATTCCTGAAGACTATAAAAACTTTATCCACAAACCAGTCCATCATCACTGATCCATCAGACACAAGGGACTGGACAAGAGCATGGGACCTAGCTATCTTCATCCCCCATGTCACAGGTCATCTTGGCAGGAGGGCCTGGCTAAACACAGCTCTGGCTCTCATGAGGAGGAATCATAGAATCATAGAATCATAGAATGGCTTGTGTTGAAAATGACCATAATGACCATCTAGTTTCAACCCCAATACTATGTGCAGGGTCACCAGCCACTAGACCAGGCTGCCCAGAGCCACATCCAGCCTGGCCTTGAGTGCCTCCAGGGATGGGGCATCCACAGCCTCCTTGGGCAACCTGTTCCAGTGCATCACCACCCTCTGTGTGAAAAACTTTCTCCTAATATCTAACCTAAACCTCCCCTCTCTCAATTTAAGACCATTCCCCCTTGTCCTGTCACTGTCCACCCTCCTAAACAGCCATTCCCCCTCCTGTTTATATGCTCCCTTCAAGTGCTGGAAGGCCACAATGAGGTCTCCCAAGAGCCTTCTCTTCTCTAAGCTAAACAAGCCCAGTTCCCTCACCCTTTCCTCATAGAGAGGTGCTCCAGCCCTCTGATCATCTTTGTGGCCCTCCTCTGGATCCGCTCCAAGAGCTCCTTGTCCTTCCTGTATTGGGGGCCCCAGGCCTGGACGCATTACTCCTGATGGGGCCTCACAAGAGCTGAGTAGCGGGGGACAATCCCGTCCCTCTCCCTGCTGGCCACCCCTTTTTTAATGCAGCTCAGAACACAGTTGATTTCTGGGTTGCAAGTGCACACTGCTGGCTCATGTCCAGCTTCTCGTCTACCAGGACCACCAAGTCCTTCTCCACAGGGCTGCGCTCAAAGAGCTCTTCCCCCACTTTGTATAAATACCTGGGATTGCCCCAACCCAAGTGCAGCACTTGGCCTTATTGAACCTCATTAGGTTTTCATGGACCCACTCCTCCAGCCTGTCCAAGTCCTTCTGCATGGCTTCCCTTCTTTCCAATGTATTGAGTGCACCACTCAGCTTGGTGTCATCCACAAACTTGCTGAGGGTGCACTCAATGCCATCATCTGTATCATTGATGAAGATGTTGAAGAGCACCAGGTCCCAAGACTGACCCCTGAGGGACACCACTTGTGACTGGCCTCCACCCTGACACAGAACCATTGATCACAACCCTTTGGCTGCATCCAGCCAGCCAATTCCCAATAGATTGAACAAAACAGGAATAAACAACCCCAAAAGAGTGAGTGTGAATGACAGAAATCAGTTTGACTTCGTTAACACATTCCTCTCCTATGTGGTCATTCACTGAGGTTTTTTTTGTATTAATTTTCTACAAAATGATGTAGCTCATGTCATCAGCCCTCAGAATTAAACACCTTCCTAGCAATGGATGCAGAGGCAGCACTTCCTCTTAGGTTAAAAATTTTCGCACGACTTCCATCAATGGGTGAAGTCCAAACAATGACAACAGGGTGTTGTACCGAGGTCCACCAGTCTGTAATGGTGATCTCTTCTGGATCTGACTACATCTGGTGGCCATGTTCACAGCACTAACTAGAAAATCTGATCTCATTCAGCCTAGCAGCTGTGCTGGGAAATGGGCAGTCACTGCTCTGCCCCAAAATACCTAAATACCAAAATTCTTAATATCCAACCTGAACCTCCCCTGGTCCAACTTGAGGCAATCACCTCCAGTCCTATCACCATTAGCCAGCCCTCTCCCATCTCGCCACAACAATCACTGTTCAGTGCAGTAAACAGCAGATAATTTTGACACCTGCAGCATTCATGGGATAACTTGTTTTTCTTGCTTTAAATATAAGCCTGAGACAAAAAGTATAACACCCAGAAGCTCCAAAAGGAATAGGTATTCTGTTTCAGGTAATGGTTCAGGTAATTCAGGTAATCACCTTCTCAATTACACCGCAATCACATGGAAAGGTGCAATAAGGATAAAATACGCACTTGAGCAGAAAATCCCCCCACTGTTTCATAAAGCAAACTTTTGTCAGATAATGCATCAAACTAACTTGGCCTTCCTTGCTTCAAAACATCTTTTCTCTCAAACCTCCACAGGTTGGAGTGAGGAAACAAAGGTGATGTCCATACATTGAGCCTCTATGAGACCAGCTGGAGTGACATGAACCACAAGTTACCCAGTCCTGAAGAGCCAGAGCCATGAAACCACACGTATCATGGAGACATACCTGTACCCACTCTTTCTTCTCTCAGCTCTAGCTCCAGCTCCAAATCCAAGCTGCTCTTAGAATGAAAAATGTTCCTGACCATTGGCAGCCAGTGTCCAGTGCCACTATGGTTTCTTGGCAACTCAAGAGAAAAACAGGAACAACTGCTTTGCCTGGGGATGTGTGTTCTCTGTCAGCGCAGCTGGAAGGTGACTCTCAAGGCTGACCAGTGCAGTCTCACAGCCCATGCAAACACTGCTCTGATGCACTTGCTGCTGGGAACCCTCAACTGGCAGGATTCTTGAGTGGAGCTGAGTATCAGGAATCATAGAATCATAGAATGGCTTGAGTTGGAAGGGAGCTTAAAACCCAAGCAGTTTCAACCCCTTGCCACGGGCAATGCTGTCATCCAGCAGATCAGGCTGCCCAGGGCTCTGTTCAACCCAGCCTTGAATGCCGTCAGGGATGGGGCACCCACAACCTCTCTGGAGGGAAGCAAAACATTCCATGTCCAAAACATTCCATGTGTCATGTTGGGATTTTACATCCTCCATGCTTGAAAAAATAGCCTGTCTTGATTAACACTATTCAGTTTGAAAAACTGGCAGTTCATTGAATATTTAAAAAAGATCACAGTACATCAACACTGTGAATTCATCTCAAATGTATTGATTTCCCTCTTCTCTCTGTTCATTAAGTATTAGCATTACTACACGATCTGTTTTAGCAACCCATCTTGAAAAGTACAGCACAGGAGGAGTCATTTTAAGTTTCCAGTGTGAAACAAGTCCACAGAGAGAAATAAATTGGCTGCCAGTGCGGAAACTACTGCACTCTTTTGTTTACACAGCTCAAAACCAATGCTTTTGTTAAGCGATGACGTATGCAAACTTCTGTAATCTCACATTGTCAAGACCTGGAGCAAATCAGATAATAGGAGGGTTCTTGTAGTAAAGCATGTAGAAAATTGCCTGCCTGCAGTATCATCTGTCCATGAGCAGTTTTGCATTGTTTGTGCAATGAAGGGCAGCAGTCTTGTAAGAGAATTAATCGTTGTGAAATGGTCAACCACAGCTTCAAACAACAGCTGAAACATATTTTCCTTGTAGAGAAATAAGCCGCAAAGACAAGTAGAGCAAAACACATGCAAGCTAATTATTAATAACCAATTTAATTCAAAAAAAGTGCATTGCTTCTTTTTAACCAAGCACTGGGCAGCTGATCTGATCAAATGCTGAGGACCAGGTACTCGGCAGAGACATCAGTGGAGATAAGCAGCTCAGGGTCCAGCCAACCCAGCAGATGGAGCATCTGTGTTATCACTGGGAATGGGCCTAGGACATTTCCATGTACAGCTAATCTTCTTCCAAGGGCTATTCCCATTTTATATCATTGTATATAACCAACTCTGTGGGCAACCAATGGCAAGGAAGTAGGGCCTGGTCTGAGAAATGAAGAATCAATGCACTGGCTTTAGTCTTCCGCAGTGCCATCTATGATGTGCTTGAAGGAGAACGGAGAAAATTTGTACCCAGCTCCCACATAGAACTTGTTCTGGAACTCCACCCTGGGGAGGAAGCAGAGAGAGGCATGGGTGCTACTTGGGGTGGACAGCACCTGCATCAAGATGAGAGGCCAAAATATAGTGCCCGTGGAAAAAAGGAGGCCATGAGAGCTGGTGGCCTCCAAGAGAAGAATGCAGTCTCCTTCCAGAGCCAACTGGGAGACACAGGCAGCCCTGGGGAGCAACTCAGCACTCATTAGCTCTGACTTTCCTTAAGTCAGCCTGGAAATGCTCCTCATGAGACCAGCTGGCAGGACCTTGTATGCCTGCTAAACTTCTTGCAGCTCTGAAAGCTAGATAACCACATGCTGCAGTTGGGATCTCTGGTGTGAAAGCAGCACAATGCTGCCTAGCATACTTCTTGCCCTCCCTGCACAATAACAAGCAAATCCACCACAATTTGCTATGGCAGCCACAGATTGGGCTCATGAAGGACATCAAGTTTTGGTGGTGGCGAGGGAGGGTTTGTTACCTTGGCCTTGCTTGTTATCATGCAGGTCAAGGCAGTCTAGGAGGCACTGCTCATTGACTGGGAAAAGCTGAAGGCTTCCATTTACTACGTATGCCCACCACCCTCACAGCCTCACAAGGATGGGTCACTCCACAGTGCAGCCTAGAAATGTAGCAGGGAGCTCTGACCTCCCTTCCAGGCAAGACTTCCCACTCTGTTGGTCAAAGTTGTCAAACACATACGACTCAAAATGGCACAGTCAGTGTGGCCACCGCTGTTCCTATAGCCCCATCCCTCCCAAGGAGAGCTTGGGGAAAATCTCCAGAGCAGAGCTCACAACCTACCAGTGCAGGCGCAAGGCATGCAGAAAGGCTGACAAACCCTCCATGACGAGTAGGATGGCTACCGTCAGCACTGCAAAAGCAGCAAAGATGATGAAGACAACAATGAGGCCTACCCAGCTGCTGTTGTTTAACCCATTGTGCATTACCATCGTCCAGAGAACTTCTGACAGTTCTGTGAAAGGAAATAACAAGAAAACAGTGCTGAGAAACAGCCATGGACAGACACAACACTCAGTGTGTTCCAATTTTCTCATCTACTTGAGCTGGCTTAAAATGTCAGCTCTGCTGAGAGTAGTTGTGCATGGCATCCCCTTGATGAGAGGGGAAGGAAAATGCATGCAGGTTATTTTCCATTGCTTATCTTCACTGTGTTGGAAGACAAGTGTGCTGCTTTGGCTTGGCTTTATGTCACCAAGACCACACAAGCACACTACCAGATCCATTGTTACCCTAATACAATAAAGTCATCAATTTAATTTGCACGTCTTTAACATGGCAGCTGGGCTCTACGCAGAGCCTTATAGAACTGCTTGCTGCTAAATCCCAGTGAAAGTGATCGATTGACATAGTCAATACATTTGCAGATGAGGTTTCAAGCTGTACTGATTGACGCCAGCAGACCCACAGGACACAGAGACAAATAATTCCCATTTGTTCCCCAGACCATTTCTCCTGGAGTGTCACAAAGAAGCTATGGTGGGGGGGGGGAGGGGGAAATTGGTTGGTTTCACCCAAGCCAAGACAGGCTGTTTTAAATGTTTAGGTAGCCTGCATACTTGTTAAAGATTTTTTTTTTTTTTTTTCTCCGTAGACAATTGTAAATCAACATTCACATTACTGGCGTATCTGATGTGCTTGGCCATCAGAGATCATATTCCTAACCTAGTTACTCCAGTTACCCAGGATAGATTCAGGACCAAGAAATTTTTCTCTTCTGACACAGGCAAAGAAAGGACTTAGTCCAGCTCTTCTCCATCCACCAGTCCAGCCACCAGTCCAGCCTTGTTTTCCATTTCATCAGTCATTGCATGATGAGGTTCACAGGACATATCCAGACTATAAATTCAATAACCTGTTATTTTAGGTGACATGATGAGGGATCTCTTTGTAACTGATGCCCTCAGGAAAAATACTCCTTTCAATATCCCTTTGCAAGGCTGCAAAGGAATACAATGATTTTCCAGGCAGATTTCCGACAACACTTATGACTGCCCTTACCTCAGCTCTTTAGCTGGTTTATTTTATTTAGATACCTGTCCTCCATGTGAAACTTATACATGTCAGCTTCTATTCAACTTTTACTATGTTTATTTCTGTGCCAAGAACTACTGCTCACTCCATCAATCCATGGTGTATCCCCTCCCTTCTGTTTTGTCCTTCTATGTCTTTACCCAGCTCTTCTGGACAGGCACAACTCCTAGCGATAGGTAGTACAGCAATATTAAAAAGAAACATTTCACAAAAATTAGGGTAGTTGAAGTTCCAGCTGGAGGGAATTTCTAATGTTTGGGCATTTGTTTTTATCTTAATCAAGATAAAAGACATTGAAATGCAGCGCATTTTCCATGACATACAAGGTTCCACTATATTCTGCTGGGAAAAATCCTAGTGAAGATGGTAACATCCAAGAGTTTTTGAGCTGAAACTTTTCTTTTTCTTTTTCTAAACTAAATCAAAATATCTTTTACAAGTTTTTGACATTCATCTGCATTCCCTGAGGCTATGGCAAGTGCCTCCTGGAATGTGCACCAATACTGCAATTACCTTTTTGCACAGGAGCAGCCATTTGGGTTGCACCTCCTACACAGACACATGCCATGAGGACTCTTCAAGAAGTACAGCTAAGGAATAGCATGGGAAGTGGGCCCTGGCTAGGAAATGCAGTCAGGATATCCCTGACATGAGCTCCTGGGAATCACCACTAAAACAACAGATAAGTCCATCACAAAACACCCCGATTTATCTTAAGAAAAATACTCTGAGAGGCAAACATCTACAAGGAGGACTCTGATTTAATGGGGAAAATCTCAGCAATAATCAAACACCACGAGAAGCAATGGTCAGCATGCAATTGCTGGTGAGGTAGCTAACAGGTTGTCACTCACGTGCATGGGCTAGGCTCAGCGCCCAGAGCCGCAGGTAGGACGCTGTGTTGGAAATGCAGCCAAGGCAATATTCAATGGTATGGATAGCTTGGTGGACAAATGTGTCTCCAAAGTTGAACTAAAACAGAAAACCAAACAATTTTTTTTTCTTACTTCAGTGTTTCCTGATTAACGTTCCACCAAAGACTGTTCATATTCCTCCATTTCCCTACTATGTCTTGAGCAACAAAAAGATGTTATCCAAAGGAAAAGACTGCATTGAAACATGTCAGTTCTCTATGACCTTTCCTTACATTCTCCTTGGAAAAAATACAATTCTAGTGAAAAACAAATGTTCAGAAAACAGGTCATATTCCCCTTTTATAATTTCAAATCTGGAGTATGATGGGAACCCAATTGCCCCCAATCTTTGTGATTTCCAACAAAAGCAGAAATTCTTATATAAAGTAAGTGTTTCCAGGCTATCTGCATATTGGCATATGCCTCGTGGGAGATATCACTGAATAAGCATATCTTCTAAGACTGTGAAGATTCCCTTCTCATTCAGCCATATGCACACCCAATATTGTTGGTACTTCAAACTGTTACAAACACTTTTGTCACTTTTTCAGTGTTGCTGCATATTGCAGAAGCCCTTGACAGTATGTGCCAAAGAAAGATTTTTCTCCTTAGCCAACACTGCAGGCTGCCAGCTTTTAAGTGCTTCTTTGCAATTTAAAAGAAGGAAAAATTGCTGACTCTTGAGGAAGCCTTGACCTTCTCTGGGTGTGGAAGTGAAACAACTCCCTGGGGAAATGAAAGCTCAAGATCTGTAAGAATGCCTACCCTCACCAGACAAAACATAAGGAAAAATTTAAAGGAATTTTTTTACTATTAAAATTCAGAGCTTACTCTGTTTGGAAATACAAACTGTTGCAACAGAATGTCTTCATAGCTTGTTAAAAAGAAGGGCTGGCAACTCTGCAAAAACCTTCTGTTTGGCTTTGTGTCTTCTACTACTGCCTGAATAATTCCTTCTGTTTGCATTTTCTTACCTCTTCTTCATCATCCTCATGGCCACCACCACCATGGTCTGCTCGGGAAGCTTTCTTGGTGTGATTGGTCTCTGGGGCATCCACTTCATTTTCTTCCACAATGTTTCCTGGGTGAGCTTGAGACCGAATCTTTCAGAAACAAAACGTAATGTGACTTTTGTACCATGCTACAGCAGATCATGGCACAGAACTTCATCACTAACCTCTTGACAGGTAACGTGTGAAGAATTGTATCATGAATATGAAGATGATTTCAACAGCTGTCCATCGTCATAGACCGCAAAAAATGAATACTCCTACTGATTGGCTAGAAGCAGTAGTAAAAATTTCCATTCTAGAGCATTTTTCAACGATCCTAAACAATTTAGAGCTAGTTTCTTGTGTCACAATACACCTTTTTATAATCACAAATCAAAGAACCATCATTTTTGGTAAATGAGAAAATTGAGGCTTATTAAGACTGATCATTTCAGTTATATAACTGCAAACCAAAGAGATTATCATCAAGTGAAAGGGAAAAGGAGCCTGACAGGGACAGATGACTTAAGGAAGGTCACAAAGATACTCAGATACAGTCAGAAGTACAGTGCGGATCTTCAGGTTCTTTTTGAACCAATGCAAACCTCATGTCAACCAATCTTCTCTCCATAATCATACAGAGCTCATCTAGAGGCCTGAACAACCTGATCTGAGCCTCATCTCAGAGATGATAGCATAACATAAGAATAGCCCTACATTATATGCCTATAATAGTCCTATTATACAGCATAAAAAATACTGACTTCACAGCTTCTGTCAGGTTCTGCTTTGTCATTCTTTATAGCTTCCAATGGGTTTCATGGGCAAAGTCTCATGATAACATCGTTTCCTACCGCAGCAGTAATCTTTGTTGCATCTGCTTTATCTTTGGATTATCTGAATGTCAGCAGAGAGAACAGACTGTTGCAAACTTATAAATCTGGGTAAATGCAAGATGTGATCAGACAGCTAACATATGAAAACCAGGAACAGAAATAGAGGGGCAGTATAGGAGGTGGGGAAAAGCTGTCAGATGTTGCTAGCATAAAAGCAGGAGCTGGAGCTAGCCATGTCAAGCTTTCATTGAAATCCCAGAAGAATGACAAAACAAGGAATTACAGTGCAGAGGCAAGGCTGCAAAGGTCTCCCAGGGACCTGCCTTTCAGTTATAGGTCAGAAGTGACTGAGTTGGAAAGGTCACATAGCGCAACTGGTATCTCTTTCTTCCAATAGAAACATCTGTGCCCTATAAAAGGTACTCCAGGCACTACCTCCCACTATAAAGAGAAGTAAATCCTGACAGACAAGTAAAGTCCTGTTAGCGTAATAAAGGAGAGAATTAATGAGCAACCAGGAAACTGCAGCTGCTGCAATTACGTACTAAAGAGCTGGGTGAACCTCAGAGCCCAAGGGAAGGAGGGCTTTGTTAATGGGAAGGCAGTCACTCAGGGATAAAGCATTTATGAAAAGCTTTTAAATAAAGCCTTTTCTGTAAGAAGCGTTGGCCTCTCAGAAACCAAGTTTGTCAAAGATGCCCTGTTCCTAAAGAGCAGCCAATCTGGTTTGTGAGCTAGGCATGCAGGCCTTTGCCCTCTTGTTGGCTTTACTCGTCCTTCAATCCTTCTAAAACTCCTCTAGTTTTGGATATTACTTTTGAAAGATCTTGGCATCACTATTCTCTCAATAGAACATAGCCTTCTGAACAAAAGCTCCTGCTTCCTATTTAGATGGCTCTGTCAAATGTCCATTCTCTAAAACACTGTTTGAAACTTCTGGAGAAAGTCTGAGATCAGAATAAAGCAAAATTAGTTCACTGCAAACACTTCTGGAGGTTTGATGCCTCAGCTTTGCCTCTGCCACCCTGAACCCCCTTGCATGGCCCACATCTCTCACCATGCGTTGTGCTTTCTGGTGGTTGGCTCGGAGGATGAAAGGTTTAATTAGCAGCATCCAGGGAACAGCAATCAGAGCAAATATGACCAGAAAGCTCTGCACTTCTCTCTAAAAGAGCCAAAAATAGAAAAAGAAAATGTCATTTTTACTTCCTTCAGCCAACTGAATTGATGGTAAGAAACCTGAAACTATAAAATGTTTTTGTTTTACTCAGTGAATACAATCCTCAAATTGGTTGACTCTCCTCCACATATGATTATATGAAAATAAACGTATGCTTCTTAAAGCTCCAAAAAGTGCTGCCAGCTGGAGATGGTTGGAGAATTGGAGATGAAAAGCTTTCATGTTGAGAAGTGTAATTTGCCAAAACCCAATGTTACGTACTTGAACCTGGCTCTCCAATGGCCCAAGTGAATGTCCTAACCACTGGATGAGGTAATGAGTCTGCCTTGCTCTGATCAAAGCAGAAATGCTGCTGTAAGGGCCAAGCCATTCAAATCTTCCCCTGGAAAGCAGAGAATCCAGAATTTGCTTTCCATTTCCAACTCCAGAAGGGAATGAAATTCCCATAACTTATCTTTGATAACACATTGCCCCCAGTAGTATATCAGTAGAAGGTGTCCTTTGTTGCAGTGTGCCACCTCTATTTCTGTCCTAAAGTAAATGTTTGTACTCTAAAACCAAATCAACATGACACAAACCTACAACTTTTACATCTTTTTTTTAAAGATGGCTCAGCTCCCTGGTCACTTCATGGCTGGTTTCATACAATCTTTGCATTCTGACTATGCAAGGGAGTTATGAAGATAATGGGGGAAGGTGAAGGGTAGGTACATGAGAAAAAATATAGTTTTCACAGAAAGCTTTAGATTGTTCCAGAGTAAAATGCTATTTAATTATTTTTTTGAAAGCTGGGAAAACTTCTCTGCAGCCTTAAGGCAGTTATTAGGGACAAACTAGTTTTTTCTACAAGATCTGATTTGCCAGTAGCTCTATAACTGAGTTAAAGGTGAAGTGCCAAAGTGTGTAATCGAACAGATGTAAATGTATGTGTGACTGGAGGCAGCATGTGCTTGCAGATTTTTCATTGATGCTGCTGTTACAAATGCAAGCAACAAGAAAACTCCCTGTTTGGAACGAAAAGATGTAACTTTAAAAGAAGTTTTCTCACAGTGGAGGTTTTTTTTGACTTCTGTGTGTTGGTAGCTTGCGTGTAGGTGTGTTTGTGGTGGTGGTGGTGGGTGTTCTGTTTGTTGTTTTTTAAGTGAGCTCCACAGAGAAGATACATTTGAAAAAAAGCTGCCACAAATCCTCAGGTTTCTTCTAATTTTTAGCTGAAAACGCAGTTTTCAGATTTTCCAGAAGAGAAAAAAAGGAATAGATCATCAAGAAAAGGAGTCTCCAAGACGTATTAAAACTCAACGACACTTCTGCAATAGTGAGCACTGACTGTCAATTCACCCTTTTTTTCTCCCAAAATATTTTAAATTGTATCATCATCCTAGCAAAATGACACTAACTATGAGGTTTACTCTGCAGCTCTGATAGCTCCACTCTCCTACCCGTCTACAGGGCCAACAAGAATACCAGAAGAACAAACTTCTCCTATGTAACTGGCCCTTGCAGTTGAGGTTCTGAGTATTTTCCCCATTTTTACACCCACCCTCCATACATTCACTGCAAATTCACAAGAAGGTGCAGTGGATTCAATCTTCTTGATGCAATACCTGGTGCAGATATAGTGGAGCATTAGAAGCATCACTGTAATTAAACAGAAACATATTGATGAAGTGGATGAGAATGCTTGGTGCGCTCTGTGATGAGTGGACATCAAAATGACACCATTTGAAAATAATCATGAAGACAAGGTAGCCAAAAAGACATATAATAAAGATCATCTCTGGAATGAACTGCAGGATAATGTTGATGTATTTCTTGAAGTAGCTGGAAAGAATAAGAAAAGATAGTTACAATTAATACAGTGATTATTAATATGAGGTTGCACCCAAGCATGACAAACTTGCTTGTTGTGTATACTATTTAGTCTTTGGAAAATCCCATTAGAAACATACTACTATTACTAGCCGAGAAGAACTCTTTAATGGCAGTCCATATGAATGAAAGCCAGTATTTAAATACAAAAGCTTTTCTGTATTGATTACCTTAAGGTTGTTGTGCTTTCCCATTAGTGTCTGAACATCTCAAAAGATTAACACATCTAAATTAAAACTTATTATTTACAAAGCATCATAAGCTGAGGAAGGTCAGAAAACAAGGAGTAGAATCAATTCTGTGCAGTTCTCTCTCTCATCTTCAAACATCTATTCTTTCGGTCACTACAAATCTTCAGCCTATGGGGAATCTCTCAAGATAGTGGTTTCACTTCCTCCACTCTACCTCCAATTCTCAATTTTCTTGTAAAATACAAAGGGAGAGGAACAGACATGCACATACACATCTCAACCAAAGGCCCACTGAGTCAGGAGGAAGAGATGTACACACAGCGTGCAAGGGATCAGAGTACTCTGGATTAGACCTAAAGAATTTGTCTTTCAAGACAGAAATTACCAAAGTGAAAGGTGTTGCATATTTTTAATGTAGTGCATTTTAATATTTCTGCAAAATCAAGAAGATGAAGGGAGAAAGTGAAAAAGACAATTTACTCAAGAGAATAATTACAATGTAATGGTCAATCCATCCATCTGGCCTTTGGACTTCACACTCTATAACAGCAGAGGTGTGAATGTCAGTACAAAGACTATGGGGGAAAGAGTGAAATTCAAATCAACAGATTGAGATATGAGGCTTTCTCTGAATGAGGGACAGCAGCAGTGGGCTTGGTGAAACAGACTTACATGTGGTTAAAGAGACTGAGTATCACCCCAAAAATCATATGCACAATCCCAATCACAACTGACATCTTCATTTTGTAGGAGTTCAGAAAAGTCAACTTGTTTGATGCAATGTTCCAGATCTTTGGGAAAAGGTGAAAAGAGACAGAAGAATAAAATTTTCAGGTTATTGTTCAGTAATAGATTTGTGGAAGTCATTCCTTTAATTACATCAATTTACTCCTACCTGTACTAGTAAGAAATCAGAACAGAAATCTAGATGTTCTTTATAATGCATCTCACTCTGCCAAACTCCTCATCTAAAAGGTGTAATGTATAATTTAACAGAGGAAATATCAGGGAGATAAAATGATGTATTGACTTCATTTCATTCCTCCAGAAATTGATGCCAAGGCTGGTAACAGAACCCAGCCATTTTCAGTGTCATTCCTTGCTTCTCGGCTCAGGCATCACCACCAGTGAGAGAGGAAAGACATGAGAAGATTGCTCCTGTTGCTAGAGAAATTTGTTCAACATTCACCAGAGAAATAATAAGAACAAAGCATGTTCTACCTTTTTTTTGAAAACAAAAATGAAGCTCTTTCCAACTCACTGGCAACGGAGACCAGATTATTGCCTGCCTCTCTGTTGTTCCTCCCCACATTCAATGGTCCCAGCCTCTCAAACAAGCAGCAACCAAGGTTAAAAAGGACCTAGCCATGATTAACCTAAATTAAGTATGTGTCTGGGAAATGTACAGAAAATTCAGCTGCCTCTGACATGACTTCCTGAACTGCACTGCCTGCATCCTGGGCTGAGCTTCAGAGTTGAGTATGAAAAAGTTACAAGGTCAATTCCTCCATAAACCATGGGAAGCCCATGTTTCTTTGTGTGACCAACAGAAATGAGAGCACATCCAGCAGAGCAGAGGTTAATTGGCTAATATTAAGGTTGAAACAGGAAAGCCTGAGGTTACCAATCGCATTTTAGTATGTAGTAAAGAGAGAAGAGCAAGAAAAGGAAAATAGGAGAAACAACCTCGTTTTCAAGGCCAATTTGGATGGGACCTGGGCAGCCTAATCTGGTGGGTGGCAGCCCTGCCCATGACAGGGGGTTGGAACTGGATGTGCTTTAATGCCCCTTCCGACCAAAGCCATTCTATGGTTCCACATCCTTGAATGCTAAAGAAAAGCATCACTAGTACTGCATAAATAGACAAAGAGCAAGAAGAGAAGAACATGGCTTCAGGAGAGAGAGCAGGGAGCTACAGATGTACCTAATGTATAGAAACAAGAATGAAATACAAATTATCTTAGAGCAATTTAATTTAATTACTGGATCTATTCCAAATGGGTATGGATTTCCAGAGTAGACCCCTGGGACTGCTGGATCCAACTGCAACACAGTGTTGTCGAGAAGCACTTCCTTACTACAAGAGAAAAGTGAAATAAGTTTTGCAGCTTAATTTCACCATATAAACCAATAGTATATTTACATGTGATGTGCTGAGAACTACCACACTACACCTCCTACCAGCTCCAATATTTCTCTGAACTGTTACCCTGAGTTTGTGTGCACATCTGTGCAGAATTGGGTCCTACACAATGACAGTCTTCTACCACCCTGAAAATTCTCTATGCACAAGCCCTGGACATCAGTGTCTGAACAAGAAGACTTGTTCCCAAGGACTCTGCCTTTCCATTTTAATGGTGAGTTTATCTGCATGTATCAGACAAATTCTCTGATTCACTGTCACTGTCTTTCCTTTCAAGCTTGTGTGCTCCATTTGGTGTCTTTTCACTTCTTTCCCACTTTTTAGCCACTTACTTCCAAGTGTTGTTTTTAAACATGGGGATAATGTGCCAGGAAGAGCCAAAGATGTTGAATGATTTGGAAAAGCAGTCATTGTAGATGAAGCCAGTATACATGGAAAATATGCCCATGAGCAGGATCAGATAGCGCCCACTGAAAAAAGTGTTCCAGATCTGCAGGGGAAGAAGGCAGCAGTGGTAAACATACACCTGTTGGACACTCCTTTTATTAAATGAAACAATTAGCCTTTTCCCAGGCTAATAGGGTCCATCAGCTTGCTGGTACTTGCCTCATTATTGCTCTTCTGGGCCAGAAGGCTCTCCTCGTTAATGACCATCCACAGCGCAAAGCCCAGCATGACAGCACCATGACCACAGTCCCCAAACATCACCGCAAACAAGAAGGGGAAAGTAATGATAGTGTAAGGAGCTGCAGAAAGGAAAACATCAGAAGCTCAGCTCCTCCTAAACAAGAGGAACTCAGCAGAGAAGCAGCTCACCCCACTGAGCCATTCTGCACAGCTGTTGTCCTTAAGAAATCCTTGATCTCTCCTCTACTCGCCAGACAACCACATCTACTGCAGAACTAGTTTTGCCACTAGGAAGATTTCAACTCCACCTTCCATGCAGTTTTAGCCTTCATTCTGGCCCACCATTAAAAAAAAAAAAAGGCATAATGTTGCATCCTTTGTAACAGAAAAATGCATTTGAAGCTTAGTTTCATTTTTCTCAGTCTTCTGGGCTTAAACAGACTGAGTTTATCCCATTCACTCCCACAGATTCTCCTATCTTCATTCTCTGTGGTTTCCTTGGAATTCTCTACAGCTGTTGCACACTTTTCTCAGGTGCTTTTGGCTTCTTTGCCTCAACACAATAAGCTCAATTCATTTTCTTGTGAGCTTACTCTTTTCCTTAGGGCTGCTACCTCCATCTTATATTTGTACCATTCATTATTCCTACTGCAAGACATCACCGGAGACTGAGGGGCCAAATTCTATACGTAAGAAAATCCATGCTTGCACACGAGGCAGTACCAGTTTTTGCCAGTGAAAAATACTGTCCACATTTCTCATTGCGTTTTAGCCTGGTGACAGAATTCAAAGACTTCACTTTGGCTTTGGCAAGCCTGGCACAGGTTGCCAAGTGTTTCTCACCTGGGTTCATCTCCCTGTAATTGCCCACACCATACGCATCCACGATGTTCTGAAATCCAGCTGTGAACTTGTTAGTCCTGTTGAAGGTGGGTGGTGCCATCCTAGTGTGTATGGTTGTCAGGATTGGGGTGATGGTAGAGCCACTTCTCTCCTGCAAACCCGGTGACAAGGGTAAGCACGGTAAGGGTGACTACCAGGGAGGAATTGATCCTGCAGCACTAAAGCCTTTGTTCAGACATGCACAGGCAGCAACATGAATGCTGGACTCAAGAGTGTTATATCTTAACCCTTTTTCTCATATCCAGATTTTCCCATTTTCTACGCTATTGATTTGTTCAGGGGAAGCTGTCAGCACTGCTGGCTTCTGTGGGTCGATCAGAAAACTACCAAGATTTAGTGCTGACCTTAAATTCCCTGAGGCTAAGCAATCATGCAATAACCTCAACTTTAATTAAAGAACAGAAAAAAATAATTAAAAAACAATTTAAAAAACAAAAAACAAAAAACAAAAAAAAACACAGAAAATGGAGTCAGCATCACAGTAGCAGACAGAAGCCTGAACATATGCTTAACATATGAGCAACATGGTTTGGGTGAGAGCACTTGTCTCTTACCATTCCCTGATGGAGAGCTCTCTTTATCCTGCCAGCATCAGCTACTGGGAACCAGATCTCTGCAATGACACACTGCTGGGTGACGTCAATGTTACAGCAATTCAGGATGTGGTAGATGGCCTTGATTTTCTTTACCTTGATCTCCCAGGACCACACGTTGGCTGCTGCCTCGTGCAGCAGCCGCTGGCGGTGGGACTCAGTTTGGGTTATCACCTGTAACACAGCACAGGCAGTGCTCAAGATGGGAAGCAGCAGGTAGTATGGTCTACTGTGTTGTAAACACTTACTGTGTTTAAATCCTCAATCCTTGTGTTCACTCCATCAAGCATTTCTCGGCGCTCAGTGGCAGACTCTGGACAGGGGTACACTGTGGCACGAAACCTAGCCAAGGGAAGAGAGACAACAGAAAAAACATTTGTCTCATTATCTCTCTCAGTTGCTACAAGGTAGGGGGTATTACACAGCAGTGCTCAGCACTAACATCTCCCTAATAACCACAGTAAGGATAGAATCATAGAATTGTCAGAGTTGGAAGGGACCATTACAGGTTATCTAGTCTGACTCCCCTGCAATGAACAGGGACACCTGCAGTTAGATCAGGTGCTCAGAGCCCCTCCAGTCTGACCTTGGGTGTTTCCAGGGACCATCCACCACCTCACTGGGCAGTTCCAGTAAAAAACTCACACCTTAAATCCAGTCTAAATCTCCCCTCTTTTAGTTTGAAACCATTTCCCCCTGTCTTATCACAACAGACCTGCTAAAGAGTCCGTTCTTACAACCCTCTGGATACTGAAAGGATGCCCTGCTTAAGTCCGGGGAAGTTTCTTGGCCTACAAGGAGGAACAAGAACATAACCCAGGCAGAAGCAGCCCTGTTAACAGGGCAGCCAGCAGATGTCCCTCTTGCACTGAGGCTGAAACAATCCCGTGTCAATGCCTTGCACTACCCTCCCGCAGCCACTGGGGGAAAGCAGCGCCAAACTACTGTTTCACAGCAAGCAAACGCCCTTCGTGTGTGCAGTCTGTGTGAGTAAATAACGCTGTGTGTGCAGGATAAAACAAAAGGAAGATGGCCATGCGGCTGGCTCTTGACTCCCGGTCTGTCTGTATCGCCAGACAGCTTGCGAGGATAGGTGCTTCTGTAAGCTTAACTCCAAGACTGTATTGAGGAGATGCAGCTGGTTAGTTTAGCGTGGTATAATAAGGACTGATGTGGGCTCCCTTTGTGTGAGTGAGGTCTTGTCTCCATGCAGGTGTTGTGTACTACTTCACCTATAGTATGCAACATGAACACCCCTAGTATACTAATGTAAGAGCACTGCAGTCCTGCAGTGGGGCTGTGCTGAGGGAGGGTCACAAAAGGCAGCCTTTGTGCAAGTGTGGAAAATGGAAAGAGAGAGAACAGGATCACTGGGGTTACCTCTGTTAAGGAGAGAAAAACATGCACACTCTTTGTACAGAGATGCATCACTTCTGGCTTCATCTGATAACAGAATACATCATCACCTGCTCCCCGAGATCAGTTCCAGCACACACACAAGTGAGGACAGGAGCAAATTGAACAAAATGCAAAGCAGTTTCCTAGAGATCAGCCCAGAGCTGCATGCAATGTCAGCACACGCTCTTTTGCTCAACTTCCAGGACTGAAGCTCTGCTCACCCAACAGCTGGCGCTCCTTTCCAAAGGTTACTCACCCTACTAATTATTCCCATCTTTTCATTCTTCGCAGCTCTTAGTTCGTCTTTAATAAGGATTTTTAATCAAACTTGAAAGCTTATTCCTCTGTGCTGTGGATTTCCCCCATTCCCAATAATGTTACTGCAGCAGTGTTGCTTTGATCTTTTAACAGCCATTTTGCATACCGAGTATCAGGTTTGCCCTAATGGCACAGACATCTCTGAAAGCTCCTGCAGAATTCAGCAGGGAATCCTCACACTGATAAATCCAGTTTAGTATTCACACGAGCACTGAGGCAGCCTCAAGAAAAGGAGGAAAAGAAAATTTCTTACATTTTCCTCCTCCCTGCTCCTCTAGACCTTCCACTAATAAATCTGTGCACGGACTTAATGCTCGTGAAATTGGCAGACTAATGTTACCAATTAGAGTCAAGCAGACACTACAGGCGTAACCTGAGGCACACTGCTCTGAAAACAAATCTTAGCCTGCCTTCAGGAGACTGGCTTCTATCAGTCCTGTGATTTTTGCAGTGTTTACCTGTCATGAATGGTGACTTAGTGCTAAGCAGAAATGTCCTGCAGAGGTTGGAATGACACAGCCTTCTGTTTTAGGTATTATTAACCCTGCCTTAAAGATGAGCCAGACCAAAATGTCTCAACCTGTGTACCAGGCTGAGGTCACGGAGCAGAAATGGAGAGGTATGGGATAGATACAGTTAAAAAGCTTAAACTTAGCAAGACATATATACAGGCATATTAGCAAGCAAAGAAAAATTGAAAAATAGGAAGGAAAGGCATAAAGGAGGATTTCAAGTGTAGCCTGATTAGCTGGCAATAAATGAAAACCTGCATGCTAGCACTGCAAAGGGCATCCTGTGAATTTGTTTTCATAGAATCATAGAATAACAGAATATCCCAACTCGGAAGGGTCCCATAAGGATCATCGTGTCCAACCCCTGACTCCACACGGCACCACCCAAACATCAGACCCTATGTCTGAAGCATTGTTCTAGTGCTCCTTGAACTCTGGCAGCTCAGGGCTGTGCCTGGGCAACCTGTTCCATGCCCACCACCATTGGTGCAGAACCTTTCCGTGACATCTAACCTGAACTTCTCCCATTTCCTTGATAGAACCTCCCTTGTCTTAGGGGTGTATGTTTCCTTTCAGTTACAAAAGCTGAGAGAAACTGGTCTAAGTTCCTTTCTGTGAAGCTACCACCACATCCACACCACCAGCTCATGACAGCAAGTTGGCACGTTGTGGCCAAGTTGTGCAAGGATCTGCCCAAGCTGCCAGCACCCTGCTGCGGAGCGCTGTGCTTCCCATTTGGAAGATTCTGGGTTCAATCAGCAACAAAAATGCTGACAGGCATCACATGGCCTGTTCTTAAAGACAACAGGTAGCAGACTGATTCTGCACGGAGGGGAAGGCAAAACTCCCTCCTTTTCTGAGGCTCAGGATCAGATAGGAGGGGCTGAGTCTCCCTGAACTCTCTAGGCCCCTATGGCTGCTTTTCACAGAGAGACACTCATCTGAGGAGGACGTGAGACTGATTTGGAGTGAAGTCAGTGCTCCTGATGTTATGACTGAACCCAGAAGGCAAGGAAAGGCCTTCCTGAGGGCACAAGCTGGGCAAGAGCAATTGTTGGCTCCTTCCCCTTGAGCTTCTGCAGGCTGTAGGCACTTGGCTGCCCTGCTAGGACTTGGGGTTATGCCTCGGATGGATTCGGTGACAGCTGACAGATCCCCTCATCAAATCTGATTTATGCTGCAACAAAGCCCATCACTCACCAGTGTTATGAAAGAGTAACAAAATATTCAACCTGAATTATCTTTTCAAGACGCTCAACGGGGTGGAAACAAGTCAAGCTGTATGAAACTTTCATTTCTCTTCTGGGCTCTGTCTCTGATTACATGGATATTGCCCAGAGGTCTTGGAAAGTGGGGGGGTTGAATAAACTACAGCATCATCTTTTCATGCTGAAAGACAGGAAGGTTTGAGAACAGCCTGGGGATTAGCACATTCTGAGTGCCTGGGCTGCTACTGCTCCTGGTTTTCAGGGTAAGGATGCTGAGTATTTCTTAAAAAGCAGTCCCCTTTAAGATGTCCCAAGTTAAGAACCTCACAATCAAAGTTCCTACTATCTGTCTCTAAGTCACCTTGGAAAATTTAGAATTTCAATTTCCAAGCGTCAAGGTGATGTATATCTCTTCGGATTAGGAGCAGCAGAAGAGAGAAGCAGGATGGAGCTCGGTGGCTCTGCTGACAGCTCCCAGCCCTGCCAACCCACACCAACCAGCAAACACCTCCGTGAGAGTCCTGCCCAGCTGCTCGCCGGCTGCTTACCCATCACAAATCTTCTTGATTTTTTGTTTGAGCTGCTCTCCCTGATAGAAGATAATGAACACATTCTTTTTCACCTCTTCTCTCTGCAATGCAATTCAAGCAGAATTTAAAGCACTCGCGGCAAAGGATCAGGTGCAGAGAAGGTGCTGTTTCCCTAAGGCTGCCTCTTCAGTTAATTCTTTTCCCCCAGCCCTAGTTTTCCAGCAGCAGATGCTGCTCCAGGGGACAGGCAAGGAGCAGAGAGGCAGGGACAGGAGGTCTGGGGCACAGAACTCACCCTCAAGCCACTGAGGGAGTTGACTCTCTGTGGCCATAGCCCACTGTCCCAGTGGTCCCCATAACACAGCCACCCCACTAGGGCTCACCTTAGCCAGGCAGGGCAGAGAAACCACCTCAGTGATGGCAAAAGTGGAAAGTGACAGCAAGTAAACCTTTTCTCACCCTCAGGCTCTCCTGCCTTTCCTCTACAGGCTGCCCTCAAACACTGCAGCACAGCCAGGGCACCGTTTCGGTTTCTGCAGGCCACAGGCATGCACAGAGGCAGGGAGAAGCAGAAGCAAGTGGGTACCCACCGTGACAGGGTCCTCCAGGGGGGTATCCATCTCGGTGTACCTCAGATAGATGTTTCCCCTACAGGCTCGCCACAGCAGACGCTCGAAGGGTATCATCCTTTCCCTCTTTATAACCCCTGCTGTGAATCTGAACAGAGTTAAAAGATAGATAAATAAATTACAAGCTCATCCTGAGACTTCAGTGACCTGTAGCATCTTCAGGTTTGCAATCTCTTTCTTTCTAGTCTGTGATAGCAGCGTGGTGCGGGTGGGAGGCCTGATCCAGAGGGGCTGTCACCAATACACACCCCAGCTTGGCAGCTGCAGCAGAAGGGGTGGTCCTCAGCTCCAGCAGACCAGATGTGTCTTCACTGAAGAAATCGTCTGGCAGATTGGTTTCTCCCTGGAAAACATCAGTTTTATAAACAAATCTAAGTTCGCTATTTGAAAACTATACTCATATCTTTCTCTTGACATGTTGTTGGGTTTTTTTTCCCCACACAAAATCTTTCACAAAGATTCAGAGCAAAAGAAAGAAAAAAAGAAGTAAAATACATCTCAGAAATGGAAAGCAGAAACCTCATCTGAGAACCAAATTCTTGAGCCCCAGTGAATCACAGAGAGATGCGGACTCCAAAGTGACTGAGATATTTTTGCAAATGTGTGTAGGTTGCTCCAAAACTAATGCCTCCTATTTTATTATTTTGGCCCACAACATTAGAGATGGGTGTTTGGTGGGATGGCAGTCGATGCCAAACCTTCCCACCAATATTCCATTACATTTTGTTGCTGTGTGACAGACAGCAGCAGAGGGGCATTCTGACAAAATGATATCTGACACAGAAATGCTTATGAAGTAAAGTTATGTCACTGAATTTCTCCAAGTGGAAAAAATGGCACCCACTGATACTTGCTGAACATTTATGGAGACCAAACAGTGGATGTGGACACAGTGAGGCAGTGGGTGGTGCACTTCAGCAGTGGTGGCAGTGATGGCAGTGACAGTGGGCCACCTCTGCTGGTACAGATTTTTACAAGTGCACCACAGGCTTTTTGTCATAGACAGTGAAAATGTGTAGCTAGTGCCTGTGTTGAAAAATAGTGTTTTGTAGCTGAGAATTTGCTCTATCAAATAATGTTATTGTGCTCTTTGTATCCGTTTATTTCCACAGAAATAAATAGGAGGCATTACTTTCAGAGCAACCTACATATCTCACTGACTTGTGGTAAAGGTCACTCTGATTTGCTTAAGAGCTGAAAACAGCAACACAGAACATATCAAAGTATCCACATTTTTAGGAATCTTCCACATCTCTATGGGAAGAGAGAAGAGGTCTCTCACCTCAAAGAAGTCCTGGGTTTTCTTCAGCAGATGCTTGAGTTCCATCAGCTCAAGGAAGTTCTGCTTCAGAGTTTGCTGATTCTGGTTGGCTTCCAGCAGCTCAGCCTCAAGTTTCTCCAGCACTGTCTGTTTAGGAGCCAAGAATATCCAGAAAAAACTCAGGAGCAGCCCAGTGTACCTTTACTGGGCTGATATTAAATCTTGAACAATAGTTTGTTGTTTCTTTTTCTTTTTTTTCTTTTTTTTTCTTTTTTTCTCTTTTTTTTTTTCCCAACAAGGGAATATAGAACTATTCATTGAGCCTTTTTAGTAAGCACTCAGTTTGCAGAAAAGTACTCATTATGGTCAATACCTCATTTTCCCATTGCCACATTCCCTGTTGTATGCTTTGTCCTGTTCAGGCACTAAAGTCAGAATTCACCCTCTCAAAGCACAGGCAGGTAAGTGAGTAGGTGTACCTCCATATCAATCATTTCCCGAGGCAGGGGGGTCTCTGGGTACGTCTCTAGTTTGACTATCTCCACAACATCTTCCATTTCATTTTCCAGAAAACCTGCAAGGAGAGGACACATAAGTCTTGATACGGAGTCATTGTTGCTTCATCATCCTGCTCATCAGCTGCTGCTAAACCCACTATCAGGACCACATCACGACGCTGCTTGTGTGTTAAAGATTTTTCCCCAGGTTGAAGCATAGCACTGTGGTAGGAGACATGTTGCCTGGACTGAGCCTTCTGCCCAGCCTCAGATTATGATTGTGATTTTACACATGCTAATTTTCCTCCTTTCAGTTTCGTTAACTGTTTTCAAAACAGGGGCAAAAAATTTATAGCCCATGTGGCGGTGAAGTGTTAATTAGCTGATGCAGGAAAAACACTTTCAGGGTCTTGGATGAAAATACCACCATTTTGCCTCTAGTCCTGCTTCACGGTGTGTGAGCACTTAACACAGACATAAATCCCACACTGCCAGTTGCTGGAGGGCTGGCTGCCTTTGACAAGCGTTTACTTACGGAGGATCCTCTCCAAGGATTCACACCTTCTCACTTCATTCACAAACTTTCTCTGGAAGCTGTTCACGTTTGCATTCAGCTGAAGACAGGAGGGAAAAGAGGCCTGAGGGTGAAGGCTGAGCAACACCACACTCATTTTAAACATCAGCAGAGAACAAATGCCTTTGGTGCAAGGGGATGTCGTACCGGCTCCTAATGGCAGGGCAATACCATGCTATTTCTGTGTATTAGGGCATCGTGTCTTTACCAGTCTAGTGGGCTCTCATAGAGAGCTCCCCATTCTCTGCTGGTGGAAGGTGCTGTCCTAAAGGGTGTGCAGAGGGTTTGCAGTTCACTGGGCGGGGAATCAGAGATGGGTGCTATCTCATAGAATCAGAGAATCCATAGGGTTGGAAAAGACCTCCAAGATCATCCAGTCCAAATGTCAACCCATCACCAGCATGGCACCTGGCTTTCTGATCATCTGTGTGTGTTCCTGGTCTCCCCATGGGCTCTTTCACTACTCTGCAGGGTTGACATTCATCACCTATTTCCCCAAGTGCACATCCTGGAGAACATCTCCAGCAACCCAGTCTGCCTACCAGGCACCACTCACATCTCTGAACTGGACCAGGCCCAGGTCTCCAAGCTCAGCCACGCAGCAGTAGGCAGCCTCCACTTGCAGGAAGAGCTGCATCAGGCTCATCTCCTCGCTCCGAAAGACAGAAGCCATTTTGGCTGGCCTCCTCTTGCCCAAATGTCCACGGGGGCCTCAACAGCTGTGTGGTCTTCCTCACCCAGGGAGGTACTGAAGGTGCCGAGTGCTGTGGGAACATTGGGATCACTGAATCATAGAATGGTTTGGATTGGAAGAGACCTCAAAGATCATCTAGTTGCAACCCCTCTGCCGCAGGTAAGTTATCAACCACTAAATCAGGCATTAGGTCAGGTTACTCAGGGCCCCACCCAGCCTGGCTTTGAACATCTCCAGGGATGGGGCATCCACAGCTTCTCAGGGCTGGAGGCTAACACAATGCTGCCCATCACATCTTTCATAAAGGTTTCTTCTACTGCTGAAAGCAGGAGACTCCTCAGGCACACAAGGCTGCATCCTACCAGTCAGGGGGATGGATAACAAGGTGTTGTATGCAGCACAGAGGAGGGGAGACACCAGTCTTCTAAAGCAGGTAACAATCAAATATTGGGCCTTGCTTTCTGCTGGGCCAAAGATGCTTCAGACCGCTGCACTCAGACCCTTGTGAAGGGTTCAGATTCTCTTTGTCTTCCACAATGCAGAGCAAAAGACACTTTAGTGTCACCTCACAGTTATACTGCAATTAGAAAGATGCCAGACTGGTTTCTGTCACTGGCACTGGTGGTGTGAACATAGCATTGCAAAAATGTCTGGAGCATGTTATATGGGAATGGGGAGGATCATTTTATTTAAATTAAAACAAACTTTAAGATTGAAAAAACGTTTTCTCCCCATAAGGGACTGTTTTCAAAATGAGAAAAACAACATACCATGCATTTCATATTAGTTCCTTTCTCCTGTATGCTTCCCATTATTTAACTCAGGTAGCTTGAACATACATATTGCCTGTAGTCATTCTTACACAAAATTAACTGATTTACTTGCACAAACACAGTAATTATTATTGCCCAAAGAAAAACATGAAAGTAGCTACATTTCATGCATGCATTTAATTTTGAGAATTCAGTAGCAAACATACATCTTTTAAACTGCAAACAAAAATCCCTATATAACCTCACTTCTCCTTGTTAACAGGGATGGAAAGCCAAGTCACCTCAACCTCTCTTTCAATCTTATTTTCCTACAGTTTTGTGTGGGTTATAATTATGGTGTTTTTTTTTTTTTTTTATAATGCAGGAAGGTCTCCTCTTAAATATGCTAAAAGCATTTTGTAGGGTGTTAGAGGCTGTTTAAGAGGAGCACCATAGTCACTAGTTCGTGTTTGCTCGACTGCCCTGTGAGTTTTCCTTGTTTTACTCTGTTCATTCACTACATGATTTAAGATGCTGAAAATACGGTATACAGAACAGTTAAAATAAAACTTGTCTTGTGACAGCTGCAGTGGGTCAAGTAAGGATATAACCATTGAAAATGTCTGGGCATTTCCAACAAAATGTAATTTTCACAGGAGAAAGACCCCAAAGCTGCACCTACACCTTCACTTCCCACTCAAAAAAGGTCAAAAATTCCCTAGCTCTGATTTTCGAGAAATTGTAAAGATCAAAACGTCCCCACCTTAACTTCTTTAGGCTGAAAAGCATGAAGAAAGTATAACTTAAAGCAGTATGTTGTTCTAAATGGCTGTTAACTTCTATTGAGAAAACGTTAAATCTTTAGAATTGAACTACCAAAACTCAAACAGATATCTGAAATGTTTTAGTTCAAGCTGCTTCTCCGCTGTGACCAGTCAAGGAAAGGTCCCAAGGCTCACCCCTCTTGATTTGGAATGAAAGAGGAAAATAAGAAGAGAATGCTCTTTTCATCCAGAAAGCCTATTTCCTCCAATTTGGAGGACGGCAGAGCGCCCTCCCTCCACCCTGTGGGTGCAGGCAGGGAGCTTTCCAAAGAGCCTCTCTCAGATATGCCTCTCTCATCGTTCCCCACCCCAACTGCTTTTTGCATTGGAGAAATAACAGTTAACAGAAAGTCACTCACGCTTCCTCCGCTCTCTGTTTTCCAGCAGTGTTACGGGGCATGAACGCACTCCAGGCTGCGGGCACGCTGCTGTGTGGCTTGCAGGTGCTGCACTGCACTCCTGTCCCCGTGTCCTGTGGATGGCTGTGGCCACTGGGCTCAGCTGGGAGCAGCAGGTTGTTCCTGCTGAGCTCTGCGCTGGTCTGGACCAGAGAGGGGAAGGTTTCTCACGGCCCGGGGTGGCCCAGACCTGGTGCTTTCTGGCTGGGTCCCCACCTCCCCATGATGCGGTGGTGTGTTGGAACTAACAACACGCGGTGCCTGAAAATGAGCCAGAGCCTTTGAAACCTGCTGCACACCGGGATCTATCGACCAGTAACAGGTCATTTGCAGTGCTGGGCGCAGCGTCTGCAATCAGGGAGGCGGAAAACTGCTGTGCTGTTTCTTGCTGTGTTTCCTCAAAGGAAGAGGGGAAAACAGGTGCAAGGGGCTGTGCCAGAAGTGCTCTATTAGAGGCAGTAAGGAGAGAAGGAACACGATTCTCACTGCTGGGAATAATGAGTGCTGCACGCAGGAGAAAGGTGGCTTTGCAGCCCTTCGCCTGCTCTGGATAGAAGAGCTGCTCTTCCCAAACCAGTGGCACAGCTCCCACTGAGGGCAGAGGAGAAAAGGCTACATCCCAATAAATAAGTGTGGCTGTGTCACTGCTGAGTACAACATCCATAGGGAGTCCTGCTCAAAGGAAATGCATGGCTATGCCCAAGTTGCAAAGTGTCCCTTAAAGCAGTGTTTTCTCTCAGCCAGGCTTTTATAGTTTCCCAGCAGCCCTGACACAAGCAGGGTACAGTGTGTCCAAGGGAACAATTCTGCTGGCTGGGAACAATAGTGAGTTTTCTAACACAGAGCTTTCCATTCCAAAGTAGCAAGGAGTGGCTCCTGCCCACTAGGCCAGCTGCTGGGAGAGGGCCCGTGCTGCTTTCCAAAACATGCTGCCTCAAGCTGAGTGACCCAAAATGAACGTATAAAACCCATAAGAGCAAGCTGTACTACCCTGGCCACGTGATCCGGCCGGCTGAGCAGCAAGAGAACACAGGGCACAGGGATAAGGCTCTCTCTCCTGCCCTTTTCCCCCTCTTTGCATGCAGAGGAGAGCAGCAGAAAGCATCTCCTATTTCATGCCTTTGGCACTGAGAAGTATGAACATTATTTGATAATAATCTCATTATCAGAGACCACATTATCGCCACTGGCAGCAGGCAAAGCAGCGGATGCCGGTCAGAGGCACACAAGAGCCGGGGGAGGCTCCGGCCCCAGCAGTGGGCTTGTTGCCTTTCCTGGCTGCCAGGCTGGCTGAAGGCAGCTGCTCTTGGGACAGTATGGGGGCACAGCGGGGCCATGGGCTCAGCATTTATCTGATAGCAACAGCAGCCAGGGCTGAGAAGCACAAAGGGTACAGCTGTGCAAGTTGCTGCGGTTGTTTTTCTGTGTGCATACAGAAAGCAGATCCCCTTCTTTTATTTAAAGAATAAAAATCTGGTGGTTTGGACATTTTTCCCCTCATTTGTCCGGTTCCATCATTTAACACGGCTGTTCACAAATAGTTTTAGCTGAGATAGCCATTCTTCATGTCAGTAAAGACGGTAACCAGAACAACTCTCTCTCAAATAGACACAGTATTGGCATTGGATTCATCTGTTTAAGGTTACAAGCCCTTTGAAGCCATGTTTTGAAGGCTTTATGAAGACCACTAGGTGAGAGCTCAGCCCACAGTACCGTGCCCACCCAGAAGACATCTTTTGTAGAGCTGTGCCTGGAGATTGTGCTGCCTATGAAGCAAGCATGAAAGATGTATCTGCACATACCACCAAGTCTACTCTTTGACTGATTGTACCATGATCCCTTCCATAGGTTGAGAATTGTCAGCTGGGAAGTGTCAACCAGCCCCCAACTCCAGTATGTAAAGCTAAGGGAGATCCCTTATAGGCTATAGTGGGGATGTCATAATTTTCAGCTGCCAGGAGAATTTCATGCAGCTGTAGGTGTCTCCAGGGTCAGCATCTCAGACATTATCTCTTCATGCTCAGCACCATCATGCAGGAGGCTTTGTGTGGCTGTGCTGATCATTAATTTGTGAGCTTTCCTTCACCCAAGCTACCTCCTATTGCAGCAGGTAACCAGGGTAGCACCTCAGGTAAAATCATAGAATATCCTCAGTTGGAAAGGACCCACAAGTATCATCAAGTCCAACTCCTGGGTCCACACAGCACCACTCAAAAATCAGACATATGTCTGAGAGTGTTGTCTAAGCAACCCTTGAACTCCAGCAGCTCTTAGCTGTATCCACTGCCCCTAGGAACCTTTTCAAGTGCCCAACCACCTTCTGGTGCAGAGCCTGTTGCTAACCCCTACCTGACCGTCTCCTGATGCAGCTCAGTGCCAGTCCCATGAGTATGAAGAAGCCAGAGTAGGGTGAAGTTAAGCTGGTCTCAAGTGTCTTACACAAAGAAGGGGTTTGTCCTTGTACCATTTACATGCCCAGAAATGGTCTGTCTGGTCTGCCATGCTCACAGGTTGTATGTTTTTGCCCGTTGTTAAACACAGAGATACTGCTCAGTTCCTGGCATGTTGATCACTTCAGGGAGACAACAGGGCTGCAGTAACAATAAGATTTTACTTGGAACACTAAATATAAACATGCTGCATATACAAACAAAATATATTTATAGACAGAGTGAGGATGTGTACATGAGTGATAAAGGTAATAACTCCCTGAGAACCACACCCAGTGTGCCAAGGGTATAATCTTGTTCAGCAAAGAAACTTCACTCTGGAACAAAACACACAATCATAGAATCACAGGGATTGGAAGGAACCAGAAGAGATCATTGAGTCCAACTCCCTGCCAAAGCAGGTACTCTACAATAGGTCACACAGGTAGGTATCCAAACAAGTCTTGAATATCTCTATAGAAGGAGACTCTACAACCTCTCTGGGCAATGTGTTCAAGTGCTCCATCACCCTGACAGTAAAGAAGTTCTTTCACATACAATTAGTATGCATTGTCTCCTTAATAGTGATTGGGAAAGCAGACCAGCAGCCCTACACACTGCAAGAGTTTCCAGGGGGAGAGGAGTGGAAGTACATAATAAAGTAAGTAAAGTAAAGGCATATCTTGTGAAGTGTACGTACACAAGAGCATAGGAAGCAAGTGAGGGAAAGCTTTGGGGAGCCTTATCACTCTGTGGACAGTCACAGCACTGAAGTATGAAATAAGAAATGAAACAAATCCAAATCTGTGTCAGAAGATGATTTCCTAGGGCTCTCGATGTGCCTGAACTTATCAAGCTAAGCCTTCATTTCCAGTCCTATCCAAAAATCACTGAAGCCAAACACAGCCTTTTCTCTGCTTCAGAGCAAGCCCCTTCTGAGAACTACAGAGGAAGCAAATGTTGCAGAGGAGAAGAAATACATTACATTAATTGTGAAAAGCATTTTTGGCATCCCTCAAAGTGGACGTGTTTACCTGCAAGCTGATGCAGAGTATACAGGTAAGAGTTAAAATTCAAAAGATATGCCATTCAGTCTTGTAATAGCAGGACTGTTTCGTCTTCTTTAATTTCCCCTTAAACATTCTGTTCCATACAGAACGCTTTGGTGCTCATTATTTCTGCAAAATTAACTGGCAGGTCAACTTTCAGCTATGGTTGAGAGATTCAGAAGGGACAGGTAGAGCTGGAAGCAAGCAGACCTGCCTTCCCAGCAGAGAACAGAGCTTTTGTTTAGCTTTGATGCAACAAGCATGCTCAGATAAAAGCACAAATTAGAGAAAATTGTCATGAAGGGACTTAGGCACAGAACTGAGCAGATATGGTAATGTCCTACAGGCCACCTCCAAGCAACCCTGAGCAATAGGAGCGCTTTTAAGCATGTTTCTTGCCATAACATGTGCCTATCTATGCCAAGGGCCACCAGCACTGGGGTGATGCATTCAGCATGATGCCAGCTGAGCAGGACATGCTATTGGCCCAGTGGGACACATCACGGCCACTCCTGGTCACCAGCCAAAGGACAGAGCCTGTGGTACTAGGAGGCAGCTGCCACAGACCAGCTGGTGGCAGCTGTGACTCCTCCACACCTTGTGCTGTGTTGACACAACAGGGAGACAAGGACGATGTTCATGTCCTTTTCAGCTGCCCTGCCCCGTTCTGCAGCTGAGTGAAGCCTTTCTCCAGGGGAATGCTTTGCAAGGTGCTGACAGGTAGCAGAGCATGCTTGGGGCGTGAGAAGGGCAGGCTGGGAAATGGAGGTAGCACCACACAGGGGTGGCCACAGCTGGAAGTGGGGGATACCCACCTTGATATCTGGCAATGGAGCTATGCAAAGTACACATGCCTCTGCTTCCCCTTGGGCTGGCTCACCCCATGGAAACATGGAAACACGATGGCTGCACACCTCAAACACGGCCCAAATAAATTCATTTTCATACAAGTCACCCAGTGATGTGGTTGATGCTCAGTCCCTGGAGACTTTCAAGGTGAGGTTGAATAAGGCCATGGGCAACCTGATCTAGCTGTGGTGTCCTCGTTCATTGCAGGGGAGTTGGTCTAGATGGCCTCCAGAGGTCCCTTCCAACTCTAAGAATTCTTTGACTCTATTCTTTGACTCAGCACCTAAAATCATTGGGGGCCACTGCTGAGAAGCACAAGAACCTGTGCAGCCCACCTCTTGCTATGGTTTCTCCCTGATTTATTCCCTGAAGCTTTCTTTAGGAAGGACAGGGATGGGCAGCCTGATCTGATGGGTGGCAACCCTGCCCATGGCAGTGAGTTAGAGCTCAAAGGTTTTTAAAGTCCCTTCCAACCCAAGCCATTATGTGATTCTATGATTCTAGGACATAGTGATGAGTAACAATAGGAGCAGCACAGCCAAGAGTCTGGGGAACTGCAGCAATGTGTGGTGCCCATCAGACCAAGGCAATACCACAAGTACTTTGGTAGCATGGCTTTTCCTGACAGATGGAGCTGTGCTGTGATAGCAAGAAGGTGGCATTACTACAGGAGGAGAAGTGAAAGCTCTTTCAGCATCCAAGGGCAGTGGAGCCAGTGCCTCAACTGTGCTTATGAGGTGAGGATGGTGGGGGCTTCTCCTTAGCAGAGAGCTCCATAGCCTGAACCAGTAATCCAACCTATCACCTCTCAGATAGTTAAGGGAAGGACGTTGTTACTGAGTGATAGATGCTGGTAGTCTACACAGAGCAGTTGGTTTCAGCCCATTTTTGATGGAAAAGTGTCCATATCCTGTGTTAACTCAGCACTCGCTGTACTTCTACAGGCTTCTGTACAGATCTTCCAAAGAAGCATCGTTGCCAGGCAGCTTGATTGTGGTAGAATCAATTCAGCATGCCAAATCATAGCCATGGAAAAACAAGTTCCCTGTCCTGATGATACTCAGTGCCTCCCAGCACTTTCAACCCATCTTTGCAGGATCAAAAGGAGACTAGGAGGACAGCAGCTGCCTGAGGATCCCACTGGAAGGGCTGGCTTCCAGAGGCCTTTCCTCCCTCAGGCTGCAGTAGGTCCAGGCGTGAAATTCCCAGGTTTGACCTTCAGGGGCCCTACAGCTGCCTTGGTGCTCATATCCACCACCTTTCAGGACTGTTGTGGTCAGAGCCCTTCTACTTCCTCACCCTGCTGTGGTAGGGAGGTTCAAGGTGTCCTGGCAGCAGGAAGCTCCTTTGCTCCACCCTCTGCCCTGCATGCTGGCTGAGTGTATCTAGGATTTGCTGAACCATTGCTGCCAGAATTGGCATGCTGATCCTTGCAGCTGCTCGGCAGAAGCTGGACCTCTGGCATGATGCTTTCCTCCTATGAGCCCTGGACAGCCTTCTTCATGCTCTTCTTCACCACTGTGCTCCAGTGCTCCTGTTCTGCAGGTATTTCTTTTCTCTTGTGCTTCACTTTCTGTACCCTTACTTTTCCCCCACTCCTCTCTACATCTAAAGGGATTGCCCACTGTTTGTTTTTTAGAAACAAGGTGGACTCCCTTGTCTCATCCAAAAAGCGTAAAGAGATGGAATTGCTTAATCCTGATGAGACTTACTCAATGTGATTGATCACAGCACCTTTCTGCCAGCTATCTACAAATCCACTACAAATGTGACTGAGCTGCAAGTTGCTCTGCTGAATGGCAATAAGACAGGGGACCTCTGTTTCTTGGCCTTCACTTGCTGAGGCAGGAGACCTCTTGGAATATCTCCCAGGAGGCTGTGTAGTCTGGTTTAGCTGTGAGTAGGTGTTTTTTTGCAAGAAATCTGGCTTTGCAGCCCTCTTAGTTGGAGAAGCTGCCTGAAGCCTAAATGTAAATGAGACCTGTCTCATCATGACACTGCCCACATTTGTGCACTGGCACCAGAGGAGATCAACCACATGCTTAAAGATGGGCTTGAGCTGACAGCCTGTCCTTTGGGCTTCCACATCTATAAACATGAACCCTGTGCTCTGCAGTGCTTTCTTCCACAGGTCATGCAGAGGTCTAAATGTTTCTTCCAGTGCTCCTGTAAGGTACTTATTAACTCAGAAAATAAGTTATGGGCATGGCCAAGGTCATTCAGCAAGTCCTAGCAGAGCTGGGGAGGAATGAGTAGTGTTCTGACCCTATCCAGGAGGAGGCTGCCCATGGACCCACTCCCCACTGAGAAGAAGTAGGGGAAGCAGTGGCTTTGATGACATGAAACTGAAAGTCAGCAGGTGACCCCAAGGTGACACCAAGCAGGTGACTCCTGCAGGACAACCTTATTTTATTCACTGTTGCTTGAAAAATACCAAATTTAAAACAAAGGTTTGGTCTGTTTTGTTCTCCTGAGCTGGAGTTAAATCTGAGATACTACTTTAAAGTCTTTCATGAAATCAAGCTGGAACTGAATTGACAACTCCAAGTTGTCAACTAAGAGTGATGGTTTGACTGGAAATAGCTCTCTCACAGCCCCTGCTCAGTCTCTGGACCAGGAGCCTATTGGAGCCTCTGTGTTTGCATCCAGCAGCCCTTACTGCAGCAGCCTGTTCAGGCTGTGTTATTCTTATGCCTCTGCAGAGCACCATTTCAGCATGGAATATTTCATCTGACTGAACTCAAGCCGGGCTGCTGCTTGTAATTGCCCAGGAGGAGATATTTCTTTGACTCCCTTCCTTCTGCAGCAGGGGACAGTTTGGTGCTCATGCACAGAGCCTGCAGCAGCCTATGCTTCTCCCACGTGGGCACACCCTCAGCCATCCCTGCATGCCATCCTGCAGCACTCTGAGGTCTGCATTGTGGCTGGAGGAAAGTGGGTATTGGAAGGCCTGAGAAGGCTTTGCCCTGTGACACTGTGTACAGATTTGGAGGGCTGCAGACCAGAGGCAGCTTTGCACTGGAGTGTCAGTGTGCTCTGATTTTAGGTAGGAAGCAGGTTAAAGAGGCAAAGTCTTCACTGAAGCCCCTCTCCTTCCTTTACCTATATCTGCATGTTGTATTTTCCAGCCTGAGCTGGTTAATGAGCTCTGCTTTCCTCCTGTGCTTTCCTTCTGACAGCAGCTGGAGTCTCCAACATATCAACAAGCACCATGCACACAGCCGAGTATGAACCATCATGTCTTAGTAAGTCTTCATAAATCATTACTACATGATAAAGCCAGGTAAGGAGACTATACAGTTCACTAGAGAGGCTATCCTGGAGAAGAATTTGTCTGTTATAAACTGCCGTTATCAAGGCTTCAGTTGCAGGTAAAACTCTAGGAAGCATTTCCAAAACTTCTCCAGTTAGCCACGCTTAGGCAACCTGAGATCCTACCAGTCCTCCCACAGTCATCCTCCATCCTAAACATGAAACAGCCCGAAGTCCTGCACTTTCTGAATTGCAGTACATGTACCATTAGAGATATGCTACCTCAAAGGATGGCATATGTATAGGAGATGAGTGTCCCTCTCCCCTCTCTGAGCAATTTCTGTTTACTGGTGGGAAAGGCTACTCTCTACAGCACAGGGCAATGGTACTGCACATTCTGAAGGCCAGTGCACAAGAATATGGTCCAGCATGATGCACTTGAATGAGAGCAACCGAGGAACATCCGCACTTGCCTTTTCTTGACAACATACAAGAGGACAGCTGCCCTGTACCAAGATCAGGAGGCATTTGCTTTCCACAGCAGACAAGCAGACATGCATGAGCATTGCAACACGCAGTGCATGTAGCTGTAAGGCTGTTCTGGCTGCTCCAACTCTCCTGGGCTCTGAGGTTTCATGATCAGTTTCCATCCCAGCCCAAGGAGCTGAGGGACATTTTGGTCCCCTAGGTTCCTTTTGATACTCTTGCCTCAGAACCCAGCCAGGTATCATCACTGTACCCATGTGATGGAAAACATAGGGCAGATGCTAACTAGGTATTCTGAAAGATTTCAGCAATGGAGGGTGCAGTGGTAAGGGGACCAGCTCAGGTGTTTGGCCAGCTGGGATGACTAAGTCTTGAAAACACATAGATGAAACTGAATATTGCCATCCTTGAGGTTAAGAACCAAGCAGAGGGGAAAAATGCCCAAAGACAGGGTGACAGGCCATGGGGCAGACTGTGATGTCAGCATCCCACCTACCTTCTAGCAAAAAAACCCTGCTTTGTACTCCCATCAGCTCACTTCATTTCTTCTCCTCCAGAGGTGGACTTCTGCACACTAGCAGCAGTGTGTTGTCCAACTGGTGTGGATGATTACGGATGGATTGCAGCAGCTGTTGGCTGGAGCCTCTGGTTTCTGACCCTCATTCTGCTCTGCGTGGAGAAGGTCATGAAACTCCGGCCTGATGAGCCCAAATATTTGGTAGCCTGAAGCAGGGCAAGTCAGCGAGCAGCAGTGAGGTTCAGACAGACTGACAAAGCATTTCAATCAATTCCTGAGAAACAGAAAAGAAGAACTTGCCTTCAGCTAAAAGAAGTCCACACGTAAGTGAAATATGTGCTGCGGCTTCGTCCCTTCTGGAATGCTAGAGCTGCTGGTCCAAGCTGGCCACCACCATGCCCACTAATCATGTCACTCAGTGCCACATCCACACATTTCTTGAACACCTCCAGGGATGGTGACTCTACCACTCCATCATTTCCCTGAGCCCAAACCTGTCCTGAAGGTACAATCAGACCCTGAAGGTCCTGGTATTAGACTCCCTGCCCTGAGACAACCCAGAACAGCCTTGGAATTTGAAAGAGCATTGGGCTGGTTTCTGAAGGATCAACATCATGAGATTCAGAACTAAGCTGTGGGCCAGGCTATATCACTAAAAGAATGCAACTCATTGGTTATACTGAGTAACTTCTGTTTACTAAACCAAAGTGTTTACTGACACCAAGAGAAATTCTGTTTTGGAAACTTGAGGCTTGTTTGGGCTGGTTCAAAATTAGAACAAATTATTCCACTGCAATGTATAAGTGAATTGCTTTGTGGGAGGTTAACATATTGGTTTTATCTACTTGGCTTGCACCTGTCTATATAATTAAGACATGCTACACCATTGCAAATGGGTTTTAAACCAGTATATCCAACTCAGGCACAACACTGGTCCTATTTATGTAAGATGATAATAAACACTCTTCTCCATGAAAGCATTCCCACTGACTGTTTTAATCCTAGTTTATGTTGATCCAGCTTGTATCAGTAAGGAATTACCCCATCCAAATTGCTAGAAACATGATCTTAATGAGAAATATTCACACAGCAGTGTTTGCCTCACCACAATCAAATCATCTTATTTGGGACAGTATCTGTCTATTATTAAAGCCATAAATCAGCACGAAACCCATAGAGTCATACATAGAACAGCAAACCTCCTAGAGACCAACTGAAATGAAACACAAAAGACTATCCTTAAACCAAAGAAAGCTACAGTGGAGATTTGTATCTATTAGGTATCATTATAGTTTCACCTCAGCTTACCAATATATAACTTTTTGGGTTAGAAAATATACAAACCAGTTTAAGACTCCTCAGATTATTTCTTGCACAAGTAGGCATTCATTCAATCAGGACAGTTCTAAACCTGATCAAACTGGTGCATGGGTCTTACCAGCTTTCCACAGGAATGGATACAAGTTAGACACCGAGAAAAAGACATCCTTCCCTAAAGAATCATAGAAACTTTAGAGTTGGAAGAGACCTTTAAAGGCCATCTAGTCCAACTTCCCTACAATAAGATGGGACGTGCACAGCTAGATCAGGTAGCTGAGAGCCTGGTCCATCCTTGCCTTGAAAGTCTCCAGGGATGGGGCATCCACCACATCTCTGGACAGTCCATTCCTGTGCCACACCACCCTCACTGTAAAAGACTGTTTCCCTATGTCTAACTTAAACCTCCCCTCTTTAAGCTTGAAGACATTTCCCCTTGTTCTGTCACCACAGACACTGCTAAAGAGTCCATCCCCTTCTTTCCTGTAGCTCCTCTTCAGATACTGAAAGGCCACTCTCAGGTCACCTTGCAGCCTTCTCTTCTCCAGGCTGAACAGCCCCAGTTCTCTCAGCCTGTCCTCATAGGAGAGCTGTTCCATCCCTTAGATCATTTTTGTGGCCCTTCTCTGGACACACTCTAACAGGTCTATGTCTCTCCTGTACTGAGCACTCCACATCTGGATGCAGCACTCCAGATGATGCCTCATCAGTGCAGAGTAGAGGGGCAGGATCACCTCCCTCACCTTGCTGGCCACGCTGCTTTTAATGCAGCCCAGGACATGGTTGGCTTTCTCTGCTGTGAGGGCACATTGCTGGCTCATGACTGGCTTCCCACCAGTCAGCACTCCAGGTCTTTTTCAGCAGGGCTGTGCTCAATCCTTTCATCCCTCAGCTTGTATTGGTATTGGATGTTATCTTGATCCAGGTGTATTTGTATTTATTGAATCTCATGATGTTCACCTGGGCCCACTGCTCAAGCCTGCCTAGGTCCCCCTGGATGGCATCCCATCCCTCAGGTGTTGACTGCACCCCACAGCTTGGTCTCATCAGAAAACTTGCTGAGGAAGCACTTGACCCCACTGTCAGTATCACTGATGAAGATATTAAAGAGTATTAGTCCCAGCACCGATCTCTGTGTGACACTACTTGTCACTGTTCTCCATTCAGACACTGAGCCATTGACAGTCATTCTCTGGGCTTGATCCTGCAGCCAGTTCTTTGTCCATCAAACAGCCCACCCATCACATTCATATCTTTACAATTTGGTGAGAAGGATGTTGAGTACTGTGTCAAAGGTCTTACTGAAGTCCAGATAGATGACATTGGTGGCTCTTCCCTTGTCCACTGATGCAGTGATACCATCATAGAAGACCACTAGGTTGGTCAAGCAGGATTTACTCTTGGTGAAGCCATGCTAGTTCTCCCATATCACCTCCCTGCCTTCCATCTGCGTTTGCATAGCTTCCATGAGGATCTGCTCCAAGATCTTTCCTGACACAGAGATGAGACTGACAGGTTGGTAGTTCCCAGGGTCATCTTCTTTATCCTTTTTAAAAATGGGTGCAATGTTGCCTTTATTCCAGTCACCAGAGACTTCACCTGATTGCCATGACTTTTCAAATATCATAGAGAGTGACTTGGCAACTACATCAACCCTCAGGACTCTGGGACGCATCTCATCGTGACCCATAGACTTGTGGATGTTCAGGTTCCTCTGGTGGTCACAAATCTGATCTTCACTTACAGTGGGAGGGGCACTGCTTCCCTGATCCCCTCCTGTCAAACCAAACATTTGAGGGCTGTGTGATGAGCAGTTATCAGAGAAGACTGAGGCAAAAAAGTTGTTAAGTACTGTGTTTAGAAATGTTAAGAAGACAAGCCTTCTCCTTGTCTGTTGCTACCAGCCTGCCTGTGTCACTCACTAGGAGGAGTATGCACTCCTGGACTTCCTTTTTGATTGAGGTATCTGTCTTGTTCTTGGTATCCCTTGCCAAGTTCAGGCTGGGCCTTGGCTTTCCTGACACCATTCCTGCACAGTCTGGCAGCTTCCTTACACTCTTCCCATGCCTCCTGTTCCTGTTTCCATTGCCTGTGCATTTTCTTGCTCTTCAGTTTGACCAGCAGGTCCCGGTTCAGCCACACCAGTCTCCTGCCTTCCAATCCTTACTTGCTACACCTGGGGATGGAGAGCTCTTGAGCACTGAGGAAAGCCTCCTTAAAAATCTGCAAGCTCTGCTCTTCACCCTTGCAGACACTTTCCCAGGGTGTTTTGTTGACTAATTCCCTGAAGAACTGGAAGTTAGCTTTTCCTATAATGTAGCATCCTAATTTTACTCCATCCATGGTCTGCTGCTACATTTCCTGGAATACTTTCAGGTGAGGAACTCACACAGTAGAAGAACTTATGGACTATATTCCCTATTTTAAAACAAATCAAGTCACAGTAAAATGTGTGGTTTTTAAGTACAAGTTTATAGAATTACCAGGCTGCCCAGAGAGGTTGTGGATGCCCCATCCCTAGAGGTGTTCAAGGCCAGATTGGATGGGGCCCTGGGCAGCCTGGTCTAACATTAAATGGGGAAGTTGGTGGCCCTGCATGTGGCAGGGGGCTGGAGATTCATGATCCCTGAGGTCCCTTCCAACCCTGGCCATTCTGTGATTTGAGTTGGAAAGGAATCTAAAAGGTCATCTTGTCCAATGCCCTGCAATGAACAGGGACACCCACAGCTAGATCAGGTACTCAGAACCCCTCCAGCCTGGCCTTGAGTGTCTCTAGGGCTGAGGTATCCACCACCTCTCTGGGCAACCTGTGCCAGTGCCTCACCACACTTACTGAAAAAAACATCTTCCTTATATCCTTATGCTTATGTAAATCTCCACTTTTTTAGTTTGAAACCATTTCCCCTTGTCCTACCACAACAGACTCTTCTAAGGCTTTCTCTACAGTACACCATCTTAAAAATGTAGTCCATTAGCCAGGTCATAGACTCATTTATTTCATTTTATCTCATATTCCTAACACTATCACTCACACCTAGTATAATACCTCTTAAAGTATTATAGCTGAAATAGTACTATTATCCCCAATTCGTGTATTGCAGTCCAAGCCTTGTTCCATTAATGGAGCTACACTAATACACATACATGCAACAGCACATGCCCTCTTTTTAGTCTTTTGTTTTTCCCATAGCAATTCAGGAAGCATATAATTTTTATTCTTACAGGAAAATCTAGAAAGAAAACATAATTACTCATTTATCAATGTATATATATAATTTCTCCTGTATTAAACTTTGATGTCCATACTATGCTGTAGCTCCGAGCTGGTTTAGGGTCTCAGATATCTCAAAGCATGTGAAAAAATAAAATATTGGCTCATATCACCCATTAAACCACCTACTACCCTCTCAGAATGATGATGGAAATCTTAACACTGCACTCATCTGCATTACACCGATCAGTCAAATTCTGTCCTTGCACCAAAACGTTCTGCAGAGGAAGAAGAAGGAAAAGCAATCTAGTCCAGCTCATATGGTCCAGTACAAACACAGCCAAAGTGGTTGAAAACTGGATGGCTGAATGAAAACACTTGGGAGATCTACTGCTGTACAGCTATCTCAATATACAGAGCAGAAGGGAGCATGCAACCATTCAGCACTTCTAATGCTGCGTGAGAAGAAGCAGCGCATGACTCCAGGGAAGCTACTTTTATTTGCCTGGGAACAATATTGATCACATCTGACCAGTGATTTTTATAAATTCTTAATTTAAGTCTAAATTGATTGATATGTGATGCATGACTCTTCATCTCTTTAGAAACTATTGCTCCGGTAATGACTCACATTACTCACTGCCTTTTATCCTTGGGGTTTTAGTGAATGAGCTACATATTAAGCAATTGCATTTTACAATGATTACACTTTGCAAAATCACCAGAGGGATGAAAACTGGCAAGCATCAGAGGTTCCCACTCACAGAGAAAAATACAGAGGTTAAATTCATAAGAAAAGTTTCACTGTGCTGGGAATTGGTAGGAGTTTTGATAAAGCCGCTACAAAGACTAGAATTTCATAATATTACTATAATTAATTACAAGCAAAGAATGAAATACAGGAAATCCTGGAAAGCAGCCACCCTTTCTCCTCTGTACAGTCCAGATCCTCATTTTGTGGTACCAGTGGCAGCAGCCTCTTCTGTGGAATTCAAACCCAACTGCAGATTTCTTTCCCAGAATCAAATACGCACCTCTCAAAGGGCTTTTACTCCCAGCTCCTATTTTGGTGTAACTTCCTAGAAATAGGTGCGAGGTTAAACAATGCACTGTTGTCTCCCAGTGTACAAACAAACTGGAAAAAACACAGCTTGAAGAGACATGCAGACCTTTCTTGCACACTTTGAAGGTAAGAAATCTAGAGACACATTGAGTTAACCATTTTGCTTACCCACCACAAATAACCACCTATGGGCCCCTAGGTCTTGTTGACATAATACTCTTTTCCAAATCCCACACTCTGCTTTTTATAGTGTTCTTAGCTACAAAGGCTGAAGAACTAAAGACTAACTGTGTAAGTCTGGATTTTCCCAAATGCTACTGTCAGGGGTAAAATCATGTTTCCTGTATGTAAAGGTGCAAGGCACATTCTGGGGACAGCATG